GCTCGGCTCAGGAGGCCCATTCCTCAGCCGGGCCGACAAGCAAACGGGGTCGAAGTCCTTCTCTGTAATTGTGGCGCTTGCTTTGAAGTTTGGGAGTCGTTTCTCTCGTCTCTTCATGCAGAAGGTTTTTTGCAAACTCTGCCGCTCTGTTGTCGCCGTGCTGAGAAGCACTTGGACGTGCAAAGTCTTTCCAGCTGTTTTTATGGAGGCTCATGTGTAATTTTTAAGCCGAAGCAGCTCTTTAATGAGTTGGGTGACTGTAAACAAATGGTAGCGTACACACAAAGTGTCCCCACCTGTTTATGCTCGGGTTATGTGAAAAAGCAAATACCATCTGTGTGCGGGACGGGAGGTGAATTACACACTAATTACATTAACAGGGATCCAGTTGATTTTTGCACTTTTACATGAAACAAAAAATGAAAACATGGAAAAGCCGGCAGTGTGTGTGTTTGTGTGTGGCGTAAACAGCACGTCGGCTTGTGGCTCGGCTTTTATGAGCTTTGGCTCAGAGGAGGCTGCAGGATTTTGTGTACGACTTCAGGGGAGGCAGCCATGAAGCCAGAACACCCTCCACCAAGTAAATGCAGTGGACGAAGTATTCAGATCCTTTAAGAAAAAGTACACCTCATTGTAAAATTACTCCATAACAACTAAAAGTACTGCATTGAAAATGGAAAGGAAAATGTACTTATATTTATTCATTTAGCTGATGCTTTACTTAAAGTATAAAAAAGTAAAAACACTCAATGCAGAAAGACTCGTGCATTAATGTAAAAGCAGCATTTTACTATTGTAGCTGGTTGTATCATGTAAATGCTCAGTACTTGTATAGTGCCTTTCTAGTCTTAGACCACTCAAAGCGCTTTTACACTACATCTGCATTCACCATTCACACACATTCATACACTGGCGGAACAGCCGCCAGGGGCAACTCAGGGTTCAGTATCTTGCCCAAGGACACTTCGACATGCAGCCTGGGGGAGCCGGGGATTGAACCGCCGACCATTAATTGATTGTAAAATTCTGAATATTGTGATAAATGTTGTCACAATTGCCCAGGGCTCAATGTGACCCCTTCATAATGCTTGCCTTGTCAGTCTAAAACTCAAAATTATTACAAATACATTTATACAAATACATTTATATTACGTTTGTGAACCATGAAATGATTTTACATGAAAAATTAATGTAATGTGTAATGAATGTAAAACTGTTGGATAGCTTAATTTATAACATATATATTTTTAAATCTTCATGTATTTTGTGTGTATAAATCCTACTTTGTAAAGTAACTGAAGCTGTCAGATAAATGTAGTGAAGTAAAAATTACAATATCTCCCTCTGCGATGTGGAGGAGTAGAAAGTGGCATGAAAAGAAAATACAAAGTAAAGTACATATTAGATATGTAAGTGCTTGAGGAAATATACTTAGTTACCACCACTGAGTAAAAGTATTCATTATGCAGTTTAAGCAAAATTATGTACAGGAGCTTTTTCAGTCTTAATGAAGTTGCCCTCTGGCAGTCATGTAAAATGGATTTAAACCGCAGCTGCACGTTTTCCATTCTGTGAGTCGGTGAGTAGCTCCTTTAATATCATGTTGTTTGATTGCTTTCTCAGCTTTGTGTTTGGATGCTTGCATTGAATGTTTCTGCCCTTCACACAACCTTAACCTCCAACAGCTAGTGCCTCTTTTCCCTCCCGTCCTCAGGTGCCAGTGTTTCCTCCCCCTCCCACAGTTCTTCTCACCTCCCATCTGCTGCAGGACTTGTTGTCCTCCAGGTTCAGCTCAGAGTCCTGGCAGCGGCCCCGACCCCCACCGAACGGGGACCGATTTAGCCTCTCTGTGTTTGCAGGGAGGAATAGGTGATGGTGGTGTTTGGTTGTTCTGCTTGACTCAGCCAAACTTATGAGTCAGTCACGACTGGGATTTTCAGTACTAAGCCGGGTCCTCCCACTTTTACTGGTCGATTCATTTCAGCTTCGTGCTCATAAAAAATAATATTTCCTCTGGGTTCTTATATTCTCGGTATTAGAACGATTGAAAGGTGATTTATTCTTTATGCTCATAAACAGGAGAGGAGATTTTAATATGAAGTTTGGTGGGAATAACTTTTGTTCTGATCCTTTTGGACAAACTAATTCTACTGAGCAAAATGAGCTTTCACTCTGAATCTGACCCTGCATGTTGTTACAGCAATCTGAAAAACTCAGATTGATTGTGTACTATTCCTCTTGATGGGGGACGACGCAGTAAATACTTCACCAAGTAGCTGCTTTTGTGTGTTATTGGTAACGATACTATTATAAAGTATTCAAATTCTAGATGTGCACACATGACACCTGAGAGGTTGTAAATGTTTGTTGCAGCACTTCAGGAATGTTATTTGTTGATGAGGCCCATAGTTGGAGTCAGTTACACTAAATAACTTCACTCCCTAGCTGCATTAATGGCCTCTAACGTTGGAGAACTTCATAATTCTACTTTAGTTTATTCTGTCAAACCAAAATTTTACATATGTACAAAAATCCATCCTAACTCTTGAACCCATATTATGTAAGTATGAAATATGTAAGTTTGTGGGAGGCAGATAAATGGAAATAGTGCAATGAAGTGCATTTATATAGCCCGTCCTAGTCTACTGACCACTAACAGTGACGAGAGGGCGACGCTACCTAGCTTAGTTGGCGCCTGTAATTCATGTTAACTGAGGCCAGCGAAAAACTGGTTTAAAATGAAATGTACTTACTGCAAAAGATTTATAGCTGACTCGTAATTAACGTCGCCGCTGGTTAAATGTACACAGTGCAGCAGATACAATTCACCTTTTTCCTGTCTGACAGCTTGCCATGGTAGAGACTTGTCAATCACAAGCCCTAAAGCCTCCTCTGCTTCCTGGTCTCTGTTCCTCTAAATGGGACCATAATTTACTAAATGAACATCATCCTGTGCTGAAGAAGACTTGAAACTAGCGACTGAGACCATAAACTCATCAGGAAAGTGTTTACTGAGGGAATAAATCAGCTGAGAAGTAGAAACATTTTCTCAGAGACTTCTAGACAATCACACTTCTTTCTGCTGGCTGATGGAGAGAATGCAGGTTTAGGGGCTCTTCAGCACTGGCTTCACATTTTAGACCCGGAAGTTTCCGCTTGTTACCAGCCTGGGAGCAGTAAGTGGTCAGTGTCTTGCTCAAGGACACTTAGGCTACGTTCAGACTGCAGGCCAAAGTGACCCAAATCCAATTTTTTTGTCCATACGTGACTCAGATCTGATCTTTTTCTGACAGTGTGAACAGGCCAAGTCACATGGAATCTGATCTTTTCTTTTTTGACGTCTCTGTTGAGCAGCTGTTTTCACAGTTCTGCTGTAGACGGAGCCGCGGTGAACAAAAAAGCTCCACAAAAGACATTATGATCATGTGGCTCTCTTCCTCGCCATCATCTGCTCACAAATTCTCTTACACCTGAAATCTACTGGACCGCACGCTCTCTTCTGAGTTATATGCATGCTACTTGTGTCTGTGCTGACATAGTGGTGAGGGAGAGAGTTGGGGGCAGATGCGTTGTACAGCGGCAGAAACCGTAACGAAAAAAAAAACAGAAAGTTGTGAACACCGGACCGCGAGCTCTCTTCTGAGTTATGCGCATGCTACTTGTCCGTGTGGACACAGTGGAGAGAGTTGTGAACCCTTGTCATAATTCAGGAGAAATGTGACCCATGAGAGGACAATAAAAAACGGGAATCTCCCGTGAAAATTGAGTGTGTTGCAAGAATGAGCTAACTGGAGCTAACCTCTGTGGCTCTGTTTACTTCTGTACGACAGCGTGCTGCGCGAGACGTCGTGTTATTCTTTTGTGCACATGGGTCATTTTCAGGCCGATACAGGCCACATCTAAACAATAACGTGAACCGTCAAAAAAATATCGGAATTGAGCATTAAGGCCTGGAGTCTGAACGTAGCCTTTGACCTCTGATTACTAGATGAATGCTCTCCATCCTGAGCCAGAGTTAAGCTGCACTATGCATTATTTCTATTTTATTAATGGTGAACATGTTTTTAACTTTGCTAAGCTCACAAGTCAACAGTAATGATCAATTATGAAAAAGAAACCAAACTTGAATTTGAACCAATGAACACCTTTTGTTTGTACTGAGGTTGGACGTCTGAGCACTGAGTGATTCTGGGGCATGATTCGTGAGCAACCCCCCTCTTCCCTGCTTTCAGTTATTTTCATGCAGTGATGATGATTCATTTCTGTTTGAAGCTTGGCAACACTTGTTAGCGCTTACTCCATTCTGTTATGCATCATTACAAACACTGTATTGAAGAAGTGCAGTGGGTCGCTTTCAGGAATCAATGAGCAGAATTGGACATCCAAATGACATTCATCCAGTATAAAGTGATTTGAAAGTGTTTGTTCATGTCACAACTCTGCTTTCCGCCTATCAGGACACCTCTGAACAGCCCACGGGTGAAATACCTGGACCACAGCATGGGTCAAAGGTCATCACCCTGGACAACATCCCCAAGTTGGGGCCAGGTAAGAAGCAGGGTCGGAAATAGGGGGGTGAGGAGGAACACAACTTCAAAGTACATTAGGGGCAGTGGGGGGGGGGGCAAGTGAATGCCAGCACAGAGGTGGAAGGTCACAGGTTCAATCCTCCAAAACAGCCACAAGGTCTGGTTAAGTGCTTCTAAATAAGTCGAGGTTTCAACTGGAGTGAACTGTGGTGGTTCCTTTATGATCCAATCACAAAATAAAAAAGTATATACCCATCGTGTCTTCACGTGCACCCATACAAAATGAGCTGTGTGTAGAGAGTGTACTGAGTGTATGTAGCAGGCTATACGCGACAACACTAGAAGGTACCATAATGACTCAACATGCTAAAGTGCTAGCATTGCTCTTAGCATTGCACCCATGGATAATCTGGACCACATAACTGAATTTCTACTTTCTTAACGTTTTGAGCGGTGAAATGGTGCACTTACAGTCAGGTGCTGAAAAAGCCAGGCTCTCAGGATGTTCGTGGCCACTTTGGGGAAGATGCCTCTTTTTTTGTTGTGCAGTTTGTCTTTGTCGGGGTCGTCATCGTCCCCTGTGCTGGGAGACGCCATGCCGTTATCCAGACAGTCCCCTGATCAACACATAGAGGAGAAGAAAGAAACCCACGAACTTCACTTCATAGTCTTGACAGGAAATTGACTTTTTCATACATACCAAACAAGTCAGGCTGGTTGGTTCATATCTGACTAACTTCAACAATTAACTAGACCTTTTAAGGAGCTGGCATGAACACCCCCCTTCACAAATTCAAAAGACAAAAATTACTTAATTTCTTCTCGAATAAGTCAAACAAAAGTTTCTCAAAGCTTAAAGATGATATATATAGATGCAGTTTAAAATGAGTTTTAATTTGTCTACAATAACAAAAACCCTGAATATTCCTGGTAGGTTTAAGTCCATGTGGTCACTAAACGCTGGTTCCGCACATTTTAGCCAGAGTACATGAGTCCTCTCAACACTCTCCTGCCCATATAAACACATAAATATACTCATGTACTTTCCCTGCACAGATTTCCCCAGTTGATTCAAACTGGTGACCCTGCAGTGACCCTCTCTGGCCGTGTTCTGACTCAGGGTTCCCACTCTTACCAAGGGATAATTTTCCAGGACTTTTTCCACGACATTTTCAGTGATGATCTAGCTGACAGGGATGACGTCATACACTAATATGCTCCTCACTGCAAAAGTCTATGGCTTTGACGTATATATGAAAATATCTATTACATGCGTAGAAGTTAGAACAAATTGATCTTGCCTTGTTTTAAGGTTATGTTTAAATAGTGTTTTTAATGCCAGTATTGTGTTTCTTTTGGAAAGTGTTCTATGCTTGGCAAGTACTTTTCTTATGAATTATATTTTAACCACTGCAGCCTCAACACCAATAAATAATAGCTGCAACACATATAATAGCCCACAAATCCCAGCATTCTATTGAACTATAGCTTTCTAAAATCACTGTGGTCCTGAGGCCAAATGCAGTGTAACGGTACAAAAAGCTATTTTAGACATGTTGCTCTGTGTACATCCTTCGGACCACACAGCAAACTTGGTGTATTGATATGCAAGCGTAATACAGTCCAAAAACTGGGACTATTTTATAGGTGTGCAAATATTACTAGTTAATTAATGTTCTAAAGAACGAGTCACAACAGGAAATTAAAGCAAGCCGTGGTATAAATCAGTTATCACACCATATTTTAGGCCCTTTTGCTAATGAAGCTAATCACAACTCACTGTGAGCTACAGCTAAAAAGTTTCACCATGTTACGGTCCCTTTTATTGTAACGTAGCATTGCCTAGAAGAGACAATGCTTGCAAAGAAAAAAAGAGTCCTGTTAGACGTTGGTATTTAGCCAGTGTTTGTTGCAGCTGGGCTCCCATTCATTGTTCTGACCCTGGCTTCCTATTCTTATCCAACTTTCTCAATACCAGGAGCGTAGGAATGAATAGCTATTGACGGGGGACGGGCCCATCGAGAATGCCTATGTTGAGGGTTCAGAATTGTGAGCCACGGCTCTGCTCAATACCCAACACATCATCGCAAATCATCGCTCTTAGCCAGAGTTGAAAAACAAACTTTAAACCTTTGCAGGCAAATCAAGCTAGCAAGCTCATCAACTTCAGCAACTGAACCGGACATGTTAAACTTTAATCTATAAACCTAATAAAAACTACCACAGTTACCAACCTGCAGTGACTAATATTTAGCTTTGGAGAATAACTTACTTATAGAGATTTTTGGTCACTTGAATTAATGTCATTCAACCTTTGTGGGGTCCAAAACCGAGCAACTGCAACATCGTCAAGTGTTGTTGCAGTACCCCTCCGCTGCTGAGTTTGTCTAGTGCGACTGAGGAGGACTTGACAGCGCGATTGGTTGGTGGCCGAGGACCATTTCTCATGCTTCCACGTTGGAAAGCCACCTCACCACCATCATAGCAACCCATGCAAATATGTTAGTGATGTCTGACACACAAATCCAATCTGATCACTTGCAAATTATGCACAGATGGTCTGATTTGAGAAACAAATCTGATTCTCCTGCAGTCTGAACAAAGCCTCTGTGCCGCACCATCCCCCCGCAGGTTTGGGATTGTGGCACATAATGCAGCATTTACACTGAAAACCACTAAAAGCTGCCGGGTCGGGCGTTTTTACTGCACTTTCTCTGCCTGTTTAATGAGGCCCATTTTCTCCTCAGTGTTTTTAATAGTGCCGGGGCAAGATTAGGGCGACGGTCCCGGCAGCCTGCAGCAGGAGCTCCAGGCCCTGCCGCCCTGCCCTGAGTCAGCGAGTGGACAAGGGCCTCGCAAAGCCTGAACAGACGCAGGATTCTGCCGCGCAGCAGAGCCTGAAAAGGTGGAAATAATCATAAAAATGATGCGTAACTCCATAAACAAGCTCTCAGCCTCATTAGTCTGAACCGCAAGCTCCCCCAGGCTGATTTACTCTCCTCTACCCGCACTCCCTCGCTCCTCTCGCTCTCCTTAGAGAGCTAAGGAAAGAGAGGTCCAAACCCAACCTGCTAATGGTTTGTGACAACTCTGCTTCACAACATGTGAGCCAAAGGAGAGGAGGAGGAGGAGGAGGAAGGTTGTGGTTGATGAAAAGGAGGAAGAAAACAAGAGGGAGGTGAAGGAGCTTCATTTTGTGATCACAGCCGTAAATATCAAAAGCTGCTGCGCAGTCGGCCATGTGTGAAGACAGACGGGAAGAGACACGACGGGCAGTGGATGAACACATTATTAGAAGAAGTGTGATTTTCATCGTATATGCAACCAGCTGACAAGGTTCTCATACATGTCACCTCCACATTAGTTTTGTGTCCATTAAAATATTTCTCTGGTTTGAAGCAAATTTCTGAATTCGTTGCAAAATGAAATGTGAATTACAAAATCTGCATTTCCATCACCTGTTTTAATATAAATATATTCAAGAGAGCATGACGATATTACGTATTCAATCGAGCACCAGTATCTTTGACACCTCAGCACAAACACTGTCCACAGCAGGAGGAGGAACAACAACATCAACATGTATCTGTAAAACCTGTCAGCCTTTGTGGCATCCTCTGTTTTTAAAACCTTTCCAGCTCAGCCAAGATAAGGTTACAACCTTTTTTTATGGTGTTTCTGTTCATATTACTTACAGCAAAAATTGAAAATGTGTGAAAAAAACCGTGTGATTGAAATACAATTCAAAGAAAATTTAAAAAATCATACATATTTTTTCTGTAACGTAAGCCAGTCAACAGGCTGGTATAAAAACGCCACTTCTGCGCAACTTCACCGTCGGCCCATTTGCCCACATTTGTTTTTGCTTTTGCTACCAGCTGTTGTTTACGCGGCTAACGTTGCTGCATTGGCTCATATGTTCAACCAATCAACATACACTTATGTCACTCAAGGTTCCTTTTGTGCTGGGAGGGTAACCTACTGTCAAGTAGGAGCTTAAAAAGTCCCTCAAAACGACCTAACAACTACGATCGTTCCCACTTCTTGCAGTGTGGACACAAAAGGTGGGTGGGCGACAGCTGTTCCTCCGTCATTTCTCAGCCAATGAACAACTAGGGATTGCAGACTGGCTGTGTGACAGCTGTAGCCAAGTAGGAACACATCCACGGTGAGACAATGCAGCTGTAGCTTCTTGTGTGACTGTTTTTCTGTTGTAAATCAACAAACTGACCAAAATATTCTACTACAGAGACACTTCACCAAAACTTTGCTGAATGCACATTAAACATGCCAATAACAAGTGTTAGCTTGCCAAAGAGTGTTCTTCCAACAGTCCTTGAGTTCTGTTTGCACATCATGAATCTCTCTCGCTCTGCTCTACACATGTGATAAAGAAAAAAACAAATACATGAAGCAGTCCAGTCGTGCTGCTGCCTGCCTCCTCCATCGCTGCGCTCTTTTAAAACTGTTTGTACAAAATTTTATTATCCGTGGTCTGTTGGAAGAACGCTCACTGGAGAGAGAGAGAGGAGGAGAGAGTCTTTATTTTCCACCACATTTCCACTACGGACCATTTCCCCTCTCTGCTGGCGACGGTGGGAGGGGTCAGATGAATGAGAGCCAATCCAACGCTCTAATAAAGGTGACCTCACTGCTGAGGCCAGACCTGGAATAAAAACACTGAGACGGACTGAGATGACGCTGAACACAACATGTCCTGCTGGGAGATTTTAAACACTTGTAGGAGGCTGGAATGGCTCTAACACACTATACGGCCAAAAGTATGGGGACAAATGAACATTGCAGTCATATATGAGCAGCCTGCACCCTCCTGGTTTCAGCCTCTCCACCATATGTTTGCACATGGCTGCAGGGATTTGCTTCCACAAGAGCTAATTAGTGAGGTCCAACACTGATGTTTTGGACTCTAAGTCGGCGTTCCAGTTCATCCAAAAGGTGTTGGATGGGGTAAAGCGTGTTGGAAAGTGGTGGGGACATAAGGGCTCAGGTGAAAAAATCGTTTTTAACGGTCATCAGAATATGCAATTTTAGGAAATATAACTTGGGGTTGGTATGAGGTCAGAGAAGATAAATACAAATTACGGCGGGTTGGTAAAAATACTGCATAACGGCGCATCAAAAGGGCATAACATAGTCCCTTATAGAGTCAACAATACGAAAGTACTAAGCATAAAACTCAAGTAATCCATCACATCCACACCTGCAACACAATGTCAACACCAAAACCACATCTACTGTAGAGAAAGCACCAGTGCATGTACGTCAGCCCAGCGAGAACAGGCCTGTCCAATTTCACTGCTCTAAAATATGACTAACATTATTAATTAATTTAGATGTTGTGTTAAACTGTTGTTTCAATGCAGCAAACTTTTTAATGTTAGAGACATGTTCACAGGGAGAGAAAATTTGGAAACTGAAGAAATTTTCTCTCCCTGAAGAAAAAACTGTGTGAAGAATGCATGTTTTTGGGTCATTTTAGAATCAGTACGTTTGCACAATGCACATTTGTTACTGCTATATTTTAAATTGCATTGCATGTTTTCTTATAGTGCAAATAAACCTTTCACAAAGCATTTTCATTTGTTAGCTAACACTT